CATTTTAGTTTAATGTCCCTTTAAAGAAACAAACATGGACCTGTTATCCCGAGGCTTATTTGTAATGTTCAGCTTAAACTCTGAAAGCTGAAGCGTGGCATCGATCACACCGCATTTTACTGATTATGTCAGAAAATGCTATTTGCATTTCTGAATACTGAATTAACAAAATGTAGGTCAACTTTGGGTTTTGTTTTTTTTTTTCTTAAAGGCATGTTAAACTTCATAACACCAGTTAAATCACTGCATTGAAACCAGCGTGAACTGAGGTGACACCACGAAGAAATGATCGCGCCGCAGCTTAAAGACACCGACTGAAAACTCGATATTCATGAAAATTGTCATTCCTGTTACTGCCAGGACACCTCAGCCTGTTAAATGTGACCCTAAATCAAATCTTGGGTTACTACAGGTTACTACAGTCTCCTTGGAACATAAAACCTACTGTATGGCTACTCTGGTTTCATATAACAGCTATGCCATTAGTTAATGATTTAAAATTTTACCCTCTACGAGCAATTCACATTCCACTACAGTGCCCGAGTGGTTTCCACATCTTTTTTTTCTCCCTCCTCCTTAAATTGCTACTTTAACACTAAAATTCTGAAGTTAATATTATAAAAATCTGTTGAAGTTAATATTATAAAAATCTGTTGAGACAATGTCTCAGGATCACTAACATATGTTCAAATGTTTGAGTGCTCTGAATCCTGGTGATGTAATGGCAAAAAAGTACATTCAAAATATTTTCAGCCATTTTCAAAATGCTTTTTTTTAATTGAAGACAATTAAAGACATTTATTTTGGTTTCTAAATTGAGATCTTCAGAACTTCTTCTTTAAAATTATAATGAATATTGCTCTCGCTGGTGGTTATTCCAATTTTATTTGAAAGAAAAGAAGGCAAAAAAGTTTGTTTGTGGAAACATCCTCGGGGACTCACTGTGATTAAAAAAAATTACAATGGTTTAGGTTCCACTGTGAACCTTTTTCATATAATTTATTGCATAAGAAAATACACATTTGTAGGGACACTAAAGCATTGAGTTAACTCTAAACAACAGAAAATAAATGCCCAGCTGACAATTTTTATAGAAGTCAGGAAAGATTTATCTGAAGAAAGAAAACAAACCACCACTGCCTGAAGGAGGTACCTGAAGGTCTGGACTGGTATTACACCACTATTTAACTTGGCACATGGAAACAGCCAAGAATCTGCATCATTTATGAGGATCAAATTAAAGCATTTAGGTAAAAAAAGGGAAATTCACTTCTTTGGGCTGAATGTCTGTTGCCCACCCGTGACCACGCTCTCGACATTACACTCAATGCAAGGGCCTGTCAGCATTGCTCTGTTTTCTATACATTTGACCATACAGATCTTGCATTAGAGGTCTCTGTTCAACTAATAATAAGAATTAAGGCTTTCCTTTAGATTTTATCTGTAGAATTAATTACACAAAAAAACCCATCAGATTTTCAATTTTCATTTGTAGCTTTTATTTATATTTTTTCTTAGTTGCTCACACTTAGCCCTGTTATAACAAACCCCCTTTCACGTATTTATGTCTCCATTTTCATTTCAAATTACCAGTCTTGGTTATGTTTCCAATTCCCAGAAGTGCCAGATGACCACAACATAAAATATTTCTGCAAAGAACTACTATCTTCGTTACTTAAAAAACTAACAGGGAATTAAATTCTCTGTGGATTCAGTGTTCAAAATATTTTCAAGCACCTACACATCTCTTTTAGTTGGGAGAACCTAAGTTTCTGTTTCCCAGAACTAATTTGACAGCATAGAAAGGGACCAAAATCCTCCAGCAGCACGAACACCACAAGTATTTGAGAACATTACAATAATAATAATAAAAAAATTATGATTGTAGCAAACCTTCCATGCTCAGCTTTCATTTTGACAGACAACTAAATCCAGTGCACCACCATGTGGCAACATATAAGGGAATGGTTCACATACCAAGATCTGGTTTTTTCCACCTTCAAAAATTTGCTGCAATTTGTTAAAAACTAAACATTAACAAATCCATCTTAGAATCTATAAGCTCCCCCTTAACAAGGTGTCACAGCTCCACTCATCTCAAGAGCTACTTTTTAATACATCTGGGCTAGCAAGAAAATACTTGGGCATTTCTATTTGTAAAGCTTGTTATTTACCTAAAAACAGAACTGCCCCAGGACCAAAGAACCAGCTCTGTTTCTTGCCAACGGCGCTCCCTTGCACAGGAGAAATTTGGCATAAGCCTGTACTGCACATCGACCTCCTTTTAAAACATAAATACATTTTTAAAAAATAAAATCAGGCTAAACGCTGGACTCGCATCTGATTAAAAGCTTCAAAAAAATCTTGGGAGAAAAATCAAAACCTCGAAGGTAGATACATGCATTATTTAGCAGCTGCTCAGTTACTGTAAAACTGCTTCTCTCCAGCTCAACAACAGGAGAATAAATTCATTTTTTCCCCTCAAGAAACAGCAACAGAAGGTCTCAAAAACCCTAAGAAAACACTGATTCCCCAAAGCCACCACATGCCACTTAGTACCCTGGAATTTATTTCTGCAGCCAAACGCTAAACTCGGAGGAAAAAACAGGTTTTCATTAAACCGGACAGCCTTGGCTCACACAGCACAGAGCTGCCGTATTTCAGACTTTAGGCTCAGGTGATTCTTGATTTCGTTAAACAAAGAGTTAATTCATGATGCCTCAACATATTTGTTAGCCATTTTGTACCAGTACATTCAGTTCACTCTGAATTAACAGGGAGGACCCGCTCAACACCGGTCTCCTGCTAGGAACCTTATCAGTATTCCCATCTCTGCTCCGGGCGCTCTCGCAGCTCTCCGGACCTAAAGGCTTTGCTAGAAGTGTGAAGAAATCCGACAGAAAATTGGGTGACGTGATATGCAACCACGCCAGGGAGGCAGGTAGAGCAACGGGTTTTCACCAGCTCCGTACCTCGAGCACTGGGAAAACCTGTAGTGGAAGAGGTTGGAGCAAGCAGCGCTCTCCTTCCAGAGCCCAGCACGGACAGACCTGCAGCTCTCTTCCTGCAAAAGTTGCTCTGGAGCGACCTGACAGTCTCACCACAGAGCACATCGTCAAACCAATGCATGCACTTTAACCACAATAAAAAAAACCACCCCGAAACCAGAAAAAAAAAGGTAATTCACCTCCTGCATGAAGATGACGCTGAGCGAGTTCCCTCGTCTCCCAACTCCAGCTTCCCCCTCCTTCCCCTCTCCCCCGCCCAGCCTTGCTAACACACAGCTTGAAAAGCCCCTACTCTGCAATGAAGACCATTTTCTGCCAAAGACAAACCAATAGCAAGAACACAATGCACATTATGCAAGTTACTGCAGAGTTATGCAAGTTATATGCATATTTTTGCTCGCTCTACCAAGGACTCTGAAGCCACTTGTTTGATGTGGATGCTTACTCTTATTTTGAGCTGTCAAATCTTCCTCTACTTGTCTCAACTGGCTTTTTTTACACTCAAACTTCAACCAGCTGCTACTGATATTAATGAAGCCCTTCCACTACTTACAATAACACAGGCCATCAAGACCACGACAACATCTGAGCAAAGTATCACGCACATCCACCCCAAACCAAGTCTTAGGCAGAGCACAGCACCTTACTGTACCCCACATTGCCAAAACAGAGGAGAACATGACAAATCTCTTGAGACAAACCAGGCCTCGTGGTGGAAGTATCACCTCACAAGTGACAGGAATTAAAGAGAGTTCCATGAACACTCCTGTGCTGAACAAATAAATAATTTTTTGTTCAAACAACCTCCGACCTCGTGGCTTTTTTTTTTTTTAATAAATATACCTTCATACTTCTGCAGGCAGCACTGGTGAAGTGAGAAGAGAGAGATTTCAGGTACGGCCTCTTAGTCAAAAGTAACAGAGAACAACTTCAACAATATGGGACCCCTCCCTATATACAAGAGGAGCCACACAAAAATGGAAGCTTTTTGGACACTAAGTCCATCCATTTTAGGGTGAGGAGTATCAATCTACCATTTTTAGGAGACCACTCGAAGGTTTTACTGTACCTACCAGGGAACACGGACACTATTTCTAATTTCTGTCCTTTCTCCCCTATTTACCAGGACTGCCTGCAACAAAGCATAAACTTGACATCCAAGTAACTTCCCAAATCCACACACAGCTCCCCAAAACTTGAACCCTGCTGCTCACCCCGTACCTTGCCCACCACCAGACGCAAGGACACAACCACTTCAAGCCCCAAGACCGCTCCGAGCTTCCAAAAAGAAACAAGGTTAAGGGCACTCATCAACACCCAGACTTTTGACGGAAGCAGCTCCTTCGGCCAGGCTGGATTCATCTTATTTAGGAGTAAAAAACAATCCAAGCGCAATGCCTTACACAGGCAACAACTATTTATCTACTGAGTAAACAGAGCCGCTTTTAAAAGTAGCACATATCTCCTCCTGAGAAGCACAGATATCTTCCAACAAACCTGAAAGCTACACATTCTGAAATGTGAGGCAGGAAAGAACACAAGAAAGCAGAAAGAAACCTGGAATTTTTTATTTTACTTTAAAAAAAAAAAAAAGGAGGGAAAAAAAAAATTTAAATCTTAACAGCTGAGATTTCAAAGCGTTCCAACACACCCAGCACAGGTATCCCTTCCCTGAAGCGGGGCACTGACGGCACAGTGACCACCGTACAAAGTTACCTCCCCAATCCTCGAGGAACAAGACTATTTTATTTAAATGACCGATTAAACTTGGCATTTAAACACCCTAACAAGTTCTCAGCTGCATCCAGTAAGCAAATTCAGAGACCTTCATGCAAATACCTTCACCCCACAAGCAAAAAAACCAACCCAAACCCAACAAGCCCTCCTCTATCCCCAGTAGCCTAGAGAGGATTATACGGTCACTGAAGAATGCGATTTTAAGCGGAGGGGGTGGGGGGGGAAATCATAGAGAAAAGAGAGAAGGCAGCTCACCTTTATCCTGAGTGCAGGACAGGATCTCCTCCTCTTTGGGGTTAGTCACCTGGGTGATAATGGACGGGTTGTCCATGGAAACAGAGTGAGATTCCACCTGGCTATTTCCCTCCCAGAGGCAGGCGTGTGTGCGGGGCGGGAGTCGGGGGGAGGAACGGGGCGGGAGGGGGGGGCGGGTTGGTTTGTTTGTTTGTTCAGAAAAAAAAAAAATCAATACGCAGGTCTGTATTTGAAAAATAAAAATTAACCAAAAAAAAAAAAACCTGGAAAAAAAGAAAAAGGCAGGGCGGAAAAAAAAAAATCCCCCAACTAACTCCTCCAGGAGCGAAGCCAAGGGGGTGGGGGGGAAGGGGGGAGCACCGCGCTGCCACCGCCGCCTCCTCCTCCTCCTCCCGGCGCCAATTCTCCGCGGCGGCGAGGGGGGGGAAGCAGCGCAACCCCCCCCCTTAAAAAAGAAAAATAACAATAAAAAAAACAACCCAATACCGGGATTAATCCCAATTCACCCTTCCGGGAAGCCCCTCCGAGCGCTTCCCACCCCACCCCCCCTCCCCTCCGAGCCCCCGCCGCCGCCGCCGCCGCCTCCCGAGGCGGGGGAAGAGCCCCCGTCCCTGCGCTCCGCTCCGCGCCTCCCCCCGCGGCCTCACGCCGCCCCCCGCATCCACCTGAGCCGCCCCTACATCACCCCCCCCCGGCCGCCCGCCCCCGCGCTTATCTCATCCCCGCGCCCCCCTGCCTCCCGCCGCTCGCCGGGCCGCCCCCTCCTCCTCCTCCTCCTCTTCCTCCTCCTCCTCCTCCCCCCGTTCTCCCGGTGGCGGGCGAGGAGGGAAGCGCGGCGCGAGGGGAGGAAGGGAGGGGAAAGGGGCCGAGCCGCTCCCGCGCTGCGCCACAACCCGCCGCCGCCTCCTCCGCCTCCTTCTCCGCCGCCGCCGCGCCCGGAGCCCCGTGAGCGCGCCCGGCCCGCCCCGCGCCGGGTCCCGAGCGAGGGGCGGGAGCGGCAGCGCCCGCGGAGCGCGGTAAACAACGGGGCGGGCCCGGGGGAGGGGACACGGCGGTACAAAGGGGAGGGGAGTGCCCGGGGGGCGGGCGGTGCTTGGGGCCGTGAGGGCGCGGGGCGGGCCCGGCCCGGCTCCGGCCGCCATTTCCCGCCCGAGGGCGCGCGGGAAAAGATAAATCGGGGAAATCGCGGGGTTGTTTTGGTTGGGGAAGAGCTGCGGGACAGTCGGGTCCGATCTGGGGCTCAGCGCCGCTGTGTCAACTCAGTGCCACGTCCGGGCTTTCCTTAAACACCCTCCAGGGATGGGACTCCACCGCCTCGCTGGGCAGCCCGTTCCGGTGTCCAGTCACCCTTTCGGGGAAGAAATTCTTCCAAACGCCCAACCTAAACCTCTGAGCCCACTTCCTCTCATCCTGTCACTTTTTACCGGGGAGAAGAGACCGACCCCCACCTGGCTACAACCTCCTCTCGGGGAGTTGTAGAGAGCAACAAGGTCTCCCCTGAGCCTCCTCCAGACTGAGCCCCCCCAGCTCCCTCAGCAGCTCCTGGTGCTCCAGACCCTTCCCCAGCTCCGTTGCCCTTCTCTGGACCCAAATGTTAATATTTTCGTTAATAAATATTAACAAATGTTCACGTTTATTTAATGTTAATAAATGTTAACACATTTATACTGTACCCTTTGGGACCTGCTTAGGAGATGTGGGGAGTGAGGTGTTTTTTTACAGGTGGCCATGAGGTGTGTTTTTCAGAGGCGAACGTGTAGCTCAAATCACAGAATGGGTCAGGTTGGAAGGGACACAGAGGTCCCTCGGTCCAACCTCACTCCTCAAGCAGCGTCATCCCAGAGTACACGACACAGGATTGTGTCCAGATGGTTCTGGAATATCTCTGGTAAGGGTGACCTCACAACCTTTCTGGACAGTCTGTTCCAGTGCATGGTCACTGCACAGTAAAGAAGTTCTTCCTTATGTTCTGGTGGAATTTCCTGTGCATCAGTGTCTGCCTGTTGCCTCTTGTCCTACTGCTGGGCACCACCGAGCAGGGCCTGGTCCATTCTCTGACACATTCCTTGCAGATGCTGATAGATATTGATGGTGTCTCCTCTCAGCCATCTCTTCTCAAGGCTGAACAAGCCCAGCTCCCTCAGCCTTTCCTTGTACAAGAGATGCTCCAGTCCCTTAATTTTGTAGCCTCCACTGGACTCGCTCCAAGAATTCCATGTCTCTCTAGTACTGAGAAGGTACCGAGGACAGTCTTGGCTGCTTCTCCCAGAGCAAGTACTCTCTGTCTTTTTCCTAAAAGGCATGTCTGGCTCTCCAGGAATTCCCAGTGCTGCTGTTTGCTGGTCCATGAGGAGATAAACTGTGGTGTGCCTGCCCTGCTCCCACCCTCCTCAGTACCTGCCATAACCCAGATCCCACCCCAAATAATGGCTTTTTTGGGGGCCTGTCATAGTGTAAAACCGAGAGAAAACCTTTGAGAAAGCATGGTGGCGTATTTAACATAAATAAGGAATTGCAACCCCCTTTCACTCCTAGAAAAAATGAATTCTAATGCATATACAAGCTTCTATTGCAACCTTGCTACAAAAAGGACAAATATAATTTTAAATTTAATTAACTAAATGGGGAAAATCCTTCCGTTGCTGGCATGGACCCAGGCAACATGAATTTTAGTAATGTTGGTTACGACTATCTTCTTTTTGCCCTAAAAAAGGGAAAGCTACTGCCCACGTGCATTTAAAAAAAACCTCATAAATGTATGTCGGAACAGTTTTACTTAACAGTAGCAAAACCATGGCATTGACTCCCCATCCCTGGAAGTGTTCAAGGCCAGGTTGGATGAGGCTTGGAGGAACCTTGTCTAGTGGAAGGTGTCCCTGCCCATAGCAGGAAAGTTGGAACTAGTTGGTCTTTAAGGTCCCTTCCAACCCAGGCCATTCTGGGATTCTCTGATTCATTTCAGCTGCCAGATGGGGTTGCAGAAATGACCACTTTGTTTAATCCCAGCAATTTAAGCAGCTGTTCTTGTTGCAGTGCTTTACCGTGAAGGAAGACTACAGGAATTTCTGCTCAGCAGCAGTGCCACAGCCAGTTCCTGGGGAAAATGACTTAAATCTCTGGGGCCTTGTTACATTCCCACAGTTAACACATTTAAACATTTTGCTGTGAGTCTTCAAATTGCTGTGATTTTTTTCAGTGTAGAAAAAGTGATTCAAAAATCTACCTGCGCTTTCTCTCTCCAAAACTAACACTCCCTAAACATCAGTACAGGCAGAGATACCAGTATTGCAGGTTTCTGGGACTCGTATTTTAGGTTTGCCCGTTCTACTCCTATGACAAACACTTGCACAGGGAGTGAGTGCGATGCCACTGCTTGCATTGCATCCAGTTGTACAAGTTTCAACCTGCTGTTTGGCTTTGGCTCCTCCAGACAAGAGTCTTGCTGCTCCAAACCGTCCCTTGCAGGTTGGATCGGGCACAGATGAACAGGAGTTGGTACATGTTGGCTGATGGAATTAGCCCTGCTACCTGTGAAGGCTGGGAGCTCCTGCTCCTGAGTTATTATGCAGCTTTATCACAGCACTGCTTATGTTGTAATCCAGCAAATGCTTGATCTTTTACCCGCCCAGGCACTGCAGGCATCTTTAATTATCCGAGGGTTAATTTGCATGGGAGCTTTTGCTGAAACAATAAATTCATACCTCTGTTATTATTTGGTATGAGTTTCTGTATCAATATTTATATTTGGGGAAAACCAAAGGAGCTTCCTGCTAGCACTAAGACAAAGGAATTGCTTCAGAGCAAGTTCAAGAGTCATCCAGCACTGAGAACATCTTCCAGTTCTTCTCAGGGGAAGAGCAATTATAACATGTGGTGGGAGAACATGTGCTCCAGTGCCTCTTTTCTATGCAGGGATGAGGAGATAGAAACGTCTTGTCTGATGAAAAGCACGTTTTGCAAGGCTTGACAAATGTGATGTTCACCTTGAGCCAATGTGGTATGTATGATTTTAATGTTGGTAAGATTGTTTCTGCAACTCATCTTATAAAATTCCAGTCAAACAGCTCTCTGTGTGTGTTCAGCTGATGAAGGAATTGGGTGCTTACTTAAGATTAGAGGGGGAACTGCTGTTTGGGGGGGGAAGTAGGGTGGGAGAATGTGCCAGGAGGGGCTGTCTCTGCCTGTGCTTGTCCCTTTGCTGCTGCAATGCAGCTCCCTCACCCCTCCAGACTGAAGTGGAGAGCAGAAAAGCAAGATACTGATGACACACTTGGAGCTGTGGAAAGTCCACGCTCTTGCAGGGCATTGGGAAGCCAAATGGAAGCTGAAGAAGCTCAGCTGTACTTGTAGTGGCAGCATTGCTGTAACATTGGAAACAGGTCCCTTCCCCGGAGCATGGGTTCAGCCTCTCCACCCCCACTACTCCCATTCCTGTGCCAGTTATGAGATAGCTGTTACAATCCATGTATCCTTTCTGTTTTTACTTTAGGAACACTGTGAAGTGTGTACAGTATCTTCTATCTGTGTTTCTTTGTATATGCTACATGAACTAAATCCCAAATAATCCTGCGGAACAAGGAATGGTTTCATCTCCCTGTCACAGATCCGAGTTGGAGGCACAGACAAAACAATACTTTGCAGGGAATTACAGTACCAGCTAGAAGAAGATCCGGGTTTTCATCATGACTCCTGACATTCGTCCTTGCCAGTAAAACATATCCCCCTTTCAATGCCACAGGATGTTTTATAATAGGGGGAAAAATGTTTTAGCAGAACTGTTCTACATTAAAAGGAAGCATTTATTTTCATTGGTATCAGCTCAGTGAAGGCTTGACCCTGGGACCACAATGGGAGTTTTATCCTTGACTTTAATGGAAGAATAATCAAGGTCTCGTGATATTACATCCTAAAGAAAGGCAAATACTGCAGTTTGTATCAATAAGATAAATGTCTCACATTTAGTGTAAGCCGCTGTATTCTTGCAATAAATGGTTTATTAGATTGATTAAATGTCTTAACTTCACCTCAGCTATTAATCACTTTTGGCAGCTGTTTACTGCTTTGTATACTTTGAAGTAATGGAGATTATTCCTTAATTATCTCATTGCAGTTCAGTCATTGTTTCCTAAATAGTGCCATTAGAATGGTAAATTGCAACAGTAAAACAGTGTCAATATGGAGTTATGGAGTTCCCATTTTATGACGCATTCATAAAGTTAACACAATCTACTTAAAACATGGCTGTGATTTCCACACAGTGACCTATTTGATATGGCAGAAGAGGTTTTGATGAGAAAACAGTAGAGCATTAAGTGTGCCGGGACTCTGCTTTCACCAAAGTAAAACACAGAGTATTCCCTGTTGGAATATATGTGCATATCAGAATTTATTAAGCCAGTGCTTGTTTGATCACCTTCAGTTTCAGTAAGTGCTGTGAATTCCAAGAATTTTGTGCCTTTGAATACAACGTGTTTATTTCTATGCAAAAAGAAATGAGAAAACTCCAAGCAATGTTATCATTTAGAGGTTACCATTGTCATTCTGCAGAAGGATAAGAGAGTACAAGATCAATCAGAAGAAAATGGCTGCTTTTAATATTGTCTTCAGATCCGGCAGCGAGTCATAACGTAGCAGTTGCACAACAATTTCCATTCTGAGTCCCTTTTCCAGTCAACTGTAACTGTCCTGAACTTTAACATTATGAGTTGTCTGTTTCAGGCTGAGTTGTTTGGGAGGAACCAGTACTACTGTCAAACTGAGAAACATTCATGAAACCCGCTTTCAAATACTGTAACAGAAATTCTCTTCCTTCTGGCTCCCCAATAAAGGCTTTCGGGGAAAAAACAGCATTGCAAATTATGGGTAAATGTGGGGATTTTATTCTCCTTGACTTTTTACTGTGCATATGATAGAAAATGTGGATCCTTAGCTTGGGTTAAAGTAGTGTTGTAAAAAAGTGAATGTGTTTTTTACTAACGTTAACAATTTATGTTCAACCCCAAATTCCGGTAGACTACTAATCCAGAAACTTTGATTAAGGAAGCCAACTAAGATAAGGCCTGATTGTGCCAGATATCAGACAGACGTGAGAAATAATGCCTGAAAAGTGTTCAACCCAATGTGAAGCAAACATATAATTAAAATTCCTGGCCATAATTTTGGTGCTGGGCTGAATTCAACTGGTGACCCACGGGTAGAAGGCTCTGAGAGCTCATCACCTGGTGACCTACAAGTGAGATATCCAGTCCTTCCCAATTGCAAGTGCTCCACCTTTGCAAGACAGCCTGCTCTCTTTTTAGCAAGCAACCAAATCGTGTTCCAGCCTTTTCACAGGCTGGCAAAGTCTCCCATTCATGTGCTCGTTGCATCTTCTGCTTCATCTGATCAGGTTTAAAGTCTCCTGCTGCCCCAAGGTGCTCATCAACATCTTAGAGCTGGAGAGGAGCTGCCACTAGAATTCAGCCAGCAGAGACATTTGTAACAAAGCTCCCACTCAGTCAAGACCAGGTGACTGCAGACAACCAGTTAAATTCTTTAGCCTAAATAATTTGTCCTAAACCTGAACAGGGCCTTCTCCGAATCTTTCAAACTCCAAAAGCAACACTACAGGGCCAGAAACAACAATTTAGGAGGCAACAGCAACTTCAAGAAGTGCAATTGCTTGTTTATCTGCAGCCTTAGACTGTATCTGTTCTATGGAAAGGTGGTGGATGCCCCATCCCTGGAAACATTCAAGGACAGGCAGGGTGTGGCTCTGAGCAACCTTATCTCGTTGAAGATGTCCCTGCCCATGGCAGGGCAGTTGGATTTGGTGACCTTTAAAGGTCCCTTCCAACCCAAATGATCCTATGATTCCACAGCTTTTTGCTGTTGGTAAGAGGTGAGAGGTGGGAATTCTGTGTCCTCAAGGAACCACAGCGGAGACATGACAACAGTAGCAGGACTTCACTTTTGGTTGTTCTGCTGCTTCACTTGAGGACAGCAGTGGAATAGGATAGAACTTGGCTCTGCCCTTATCTGGTTACCCATTGTGAGCACTCTGTTCTCCAGTATCCCGCTGCAGTGTTCCTGCCAATGCGGCTCCAGAGGCTTGGTTTCCATTTCAGTTTCACTGGTTGGCAGATAGTTTATCTCTGAAACAGATATAACAACAGCTAATCTCGTGTTATGGTTCTGTGCCTGTTTATAACTCCTATTAATATCAAATGTGGAAAGCCTGGGAGTAGATTTTATAGGGCACTGGGGTAACCAGTTACTGCACATTCCCCTGAGGCTACGCAGCATCAAGTGTAGCAGCTTGTCCTTTCCAGACTAGGTCATGATCATCTTAACTCTGGCATTCCCTGTTTTTTGGGAATTTGACTTTGTGCTCTTGATATTCTTCCTGAGCAATGATTAGTAAGCAATTGATTTTGCTCTATGATTTATATTTACAAAGATTCCCACTGATTTACAATGGGCTCCATAACTAAGCTCTACCTTGTGCACCAGCTCCAGTGAGGATTTCACAGCACTCAAATGTGATTGGCTGGACTTTCATTGGAGGGAAATAGGATAAGTACACGATGTTCTCATGACTCTTAGAGGTTCATACTTTTAAATGCTTATAAATGTTCAGGATTCTCATTTCAATTGTTGGTACCCATTCTTAAAAGCGTGTGTTTTATCCCCCAAATATGGGAAATGTTAACATAATGCCTGTTTCGGTGAGGCATTGACCCACACAACCCCTGTCACATATAAAGCAGGACAACAAATACCTTCTTGCTGATAGGTACGTGGTGGGGTTGCTGAGTTCACAAGAGCGATGGTCGATACGCGCCACGTTAGTGACGCAGTTAATGGTCTCCCATTAAGCACAGTAAACACGGGAAGGTGTTTGTCTACCCATTCTGGGGGAACCAGGTGACGAGCTGTGAGAAAGTCCTGGCTTTGTGGAGGATGAAACGGGATAAGAAAGTCATGACAAAGGCCTGAAACAGCCCTCGGCAAGGACTTCAGGTCATCTTGGCACAGGGAAATGGTAATTTATCCTGGGAGTCACTACTGAAATCACTGGTGTGAGCTATGAAATAATGCAATAGTATGAATAAAGGCAGTAGAATCTGGCCTAATTGGGAAATAGAAAAGGAGGAGTGAGGAACACGAAAGGTCTTGTAAGTGCAATGTCCTGTCATCTGAGTCAACTGATAGTCATGGTAAGTAGCCATCTAATTTATTTTTTGAAAGGACTTCTCAGAAGGAAAACCTGCTGACTGTAGGAAAAGCAAAGGCAAAACGGTTAAGAATTGCAATGAGAAATTCTAGTCAGTGCCTAATTTTATGCCTTTCATTTCAAATTGCATAAATGGTAACTTAGCTTTTGGCCTCGTGCCTAGGAGAGCACCTGAGAACACATCATTGCATCATCATCGAGAGTCTATTGGCCTTCTTTTAATTACGGGCTGGCTTTGGAAAGTGAAGTGGCATGGTTGGTTAAGGCTGATACTAGACCTAACTAGAAGTGAGGGACTACCACAAAAAATGCTGGCACAGAAGCCACAAGCTCCCTTTGAAGCCTTTGGAGCTATGGTGCTTCCACTTGGACTGTGAGATTGAAATTTCGTTCACACGGCTGCTGGTGGAACAGGGGAGCGTCAGGAATGTGAAAGAGCATTTCTCATGTGGTGGGATGGTCCATGGGGCTGGGAGTAAAGAAATCAGAGTCAAAGTGGGGAGGTCTGAGTGAGGGAAAGAGGACAGATTTACGAAAGGAAGCCTTAGGCATGTATGAATTCTGTGCACAAACTATGAGGGGGAAGGGAGTGGTAAAGCAGAGGAAAGGAAAATGGAGTGAAGAAAGGGTAGGGATTAGGAAATCCTTAAAGAAAAGCTCCTAACAACTCTCTGCATTTCAGTCCTAGTGGCTTTCCCCGGAGAATTTCAAACATGGGGTGGTCTTCAGCACCTGGTTGCCAGAGAGCTGTGAAGAAGCTTGGTGACGTTTGCTGGGAAGAGAAGCCTTATATGTTGGAAAAGCAGGGATGATTTAAAGGATTTATGTGGCTGTGCTTGGGAATAGTATTGTTCTCCAGTTGTCCCTTCTGCTGCCTGTGTAATGAGACGGAATCCAGTAGACACCTGAGTGGTTCTTGTTGGTTCCCCAACTGTTGGTTCCCCATCTGTGGCCACCCACAAATAGTTTGGAGTAATATCCCTCAATTTTCACTGTAGAATTTATGTTCCAGTAAAAGGAATTGAATCCATGAAAAATGTTCTCTGATAAAGATCTACAAGTAACAGAAGGGTCTAAGCATCAGCAAGAAGCCCTTATATAGGACAACCAGGATGAAATTGAGCTTCATAAAAATATTTGATAGTGATATCAAGATAATTCAATAATCTTGTCGAAATTAGTCCCATTGCACTGGATTCTGTACAAAAAGTAGCGGGAAGTGACCCACAGCATAAAGATCTACAGTTCTAAGTGTAAAATTTCCTGTGAAAAACGAAAACATAGAAAGAATAATTCAACTGCAATTGCATGGGCAATTTTTGGCAGGGTTGGGACTACCCAGTCTGCTCCCTCCCCAGTCTGAGGTTGAAGCTATCCTTTAAGATCTTGAAAATCAACCCAATTAAGACACAGGAAGGAATACGGTGTGATAAGTTGTGTACGACTCCTAGAAGACAGGTGAAGTCCATAATTCCCAGTCCTATCCCCCACCTATCAGAAGCAGAAGCCCCGGGTGGATCAGTGGGATGTGGGAGCTCAGACTCAAAGGACTCACAGATCATGTGCTTTCCCCTCATGGAACCACAGTGCAACAGCTTGTTAAAAAGGTGCCAAGTGTGAAAACGCACCCAATGCCGGGTTGGTGGGTCGGTGGGAAACCTCCACTTGTTTATTTTCAGAGACACCATCCCAGCAGGATACTGCTGAGCTGAGATTCTCACTTGAGCCATTCCCAACTTGCAGCCTGTCCCAAGCCACCAACTTAACGAGTGCCATGGCTGTCACAGCCTGGGCTGTAAGAGGAAGAAATAGCTGCAGCGCTGTTATCTGGAGACGTGTGGGCAGGCCTGCCACAGCAACAGGCTCCCACAGCCGCAGAGTGGGGAGTGCTCCGGAGGCTGGGATGCCGTGTTAATTCAATTAATTGCTTCTTCAGCTTGGTTGAGAGATCAGACTGCGAAGCACAAATATCTGGAGCCCAGCGATTTTTTCCTTGTCTGCCGCGGGGGAAGTGTTCCTGCACGTGGTTGTCTGTCAGATGCTCAGCTGCAGCACCTGCGTCTTGATGTTCTCAGGTGGTTTTCTCCGAGGTTCGCTGTACAGCTATTATACATTTCAGTTTCCCTTGGGTCAGTAAATGAAACATTTACCTTGCATGCTGACACTGTGTTCACTAGGGGACGTATATATGACTGGGTACAAGCCAAACTGGTATTTAGAGGCTGTGATAAAGCTGGAAAACTGTATGGCAGTTCTTGGTCCAAGCATCGTTTGCAATGCTTTGCCCCTGGCCAGTCATCCCGCAGCTCTGAGCAGCAGGAGAGTACTCCATCCCATTTGCATGCAGGGGAG